GTATTATGGCTAGTTGGTGTCCACTTTATAAAAGCCTCGCTTTGCCTCCATGTACGCTATCGGCTCGTCAGCAAACATGCCAAGTCTCTGGACTGAAATAGAGGGAGTGAAGGTGCATTTTTACAAATAACAACAACAATAATAATAATAATTAGAAGAAAAAGAAGAAGAAGAAATGATAATAAATAAATAAAATAAATGAAAAAAGACTTTCAGTTTAACCCTATACACACGAACAGTGTGTGTGTGTGTGTGTGCATGTGCGTGTGTCTGTGTAAATGATGGCCGGGTGTGATAAAAACATAAGCTTAGAAAGATTAAAAAGTTGGGGCATTATTATTTCAGAAACATTTTCTATCGAGATAGTTAAAGCAGACAATTGAATAGTAATAAAAAGAACTAAAGTGTGGTCGACTCCTCCACACTTCCACCTACTTCCGACCAGTGAGAGCGCGATCAGTACAATGGCCACGACACCCACACACAGGCCAACGATGATGGTGAACAGCTTGGTTTGATGGAAGCGTTGCTTTTCTGGAGCGCCGCCATTCTGGAAAATAGGTCAAGTGTTGATTTGCTCTGTACACATATAAAGAGAAATTCATTTCATAATATTTGATTGCTAAAAGTATGATCTAGAATAGAAACGGAATAACCGTGTTAAACATATTCATGAACACAAACGTGTCAACCAAACCGGCGTCACACCTTGAACGCATAACTAAATGTATGAATATTTCATGAGACCAAAAAAACAAGTATTAAATTGTCTATACTTCCCCACCCCACCCCCAACTTCTTGATGGGCAAATACTCACCTTTTGCAAATGTACTGTTTATTTCTGGTATTAATTATGCCCCTGTTAATATGTAGAGCTACACCTTTAATTTGACCCATGAGACGGTTACGCCCATAGAGGTACATATTACAAACAGGCACACATCTTCTAGCCGCTATTACTTTTTACATCCAGCTTAACAAATGATTAAGTCACATCCATTTTACTTGGTTTTAACAGAAATGAAACAGACTTTAACTGGGAAGAGCTTGAAATATGCTGAACAGAACAAATAACGTAAATTTAATTTCAGCTGCGTAATAACACCAATTTCATTGACGATTTAACGACATACATGCATAGGTCACTTTAGTTCTGTATACCTAAAAAGTTTCCAGTGGAACTGGAGGAATATTTGCGATTTTACTGAACTTATTGGGTTTGAATCGTCAAGGTCTTTTCTGTCTTTTTAATATCCGTGCTGTACAGTGTAACATGTTTAATATGACTTAATTTCGTTTTGTTTTTCTTATTTCGAAATGTAGCCCCACTGTCAGAAACATCACCACGGTTAATTTTACCTGATGTTAATATACAATAACGTTCGTAACCCTGCCAGTGCGGTGTCACCACATTCCCCACCTACCTCAACCATATCCATCTTTCCAGCTTCTGCCATATTATTCAGTACTTGAAACTTCTGAACGACGTCAACAAACAACAGTGAGAGTCCTTCAATCCCGGTGTAACTTTATGAAAATCACTGCTGAATTAAAATCCGGTTACGAGATATATGTTGACTCACAGGACAAAAAGAGAAAAAAACGTTGACGTATCCTCCTTTGCCCTATTTAAGTAGAACAATACCTGTATAAGAGCGTTAAAAGTACATGTATATAAATGCACTGCGTGTGGTGACACCGAACGACGCCTCACTGTGGACCAACAACCTACATGTACCTGTGGCTGACTCGGGCCTTAATGTCGAGCAGCACGCAAAAGAAGTACCGCAAATAGTGCAGAACACGCCTAAATATTATTGGTAACTGTGTATGAATACACGTATACAGTAGAGCCTGTAGGACAATATGGGACCATAGGAAAGTATTCTAGCATGCAGAGGCGTAACAATAAATAGGGGCGCCGAATTATGCAACTTTTCCACTTCCAAAATGCCCTGTGATTGTTCTGCCTTAACGGTCTAATAACTGCAACACAAGATATGGGTAGCTTTCTACAGATACAGGTAGGGACCCATATAAAGATACAATCTGAGCACAGATAAGGGATTGAGGGTGTTTACTTTAAACAAAAACTGATACTTTACAGGTACACCAGAGACTGCACAAAATAACTGTAAACATACCTCACAGATAAACAAGATCATCGACCGTCAAAAATAAAATGAAATACAAGAAATGAAATAAATAAAAAGGTGACATTCAAGTTAACATGAAATCAAACTGTAATAGAAGACGATATGGGAAATGGAACTAGTGTACCGTGCATGTATCAATCTATCTATCTTTCTGTATGCAGAATAAATTAAAGATGAAATAATAAAATATTTAAGCGAAGCGTTATGCACGTCTGCTCTTATTTATGTCAATCAGAGTGCTAGATTGGAAATAAAGAGAGACAGAGAGAGAGAGAGCGGAGGAATGTAAGAAAATAACAAGAAAAGAAGATTCGATGTCCAACAAATAAGATATAAAAATAGACAAAGGGGAATAAGAAGAATAAAGAGAAAAAAATTGAGAAGCAAAAAAAAAAAAAAAAAACAACAACAACTTTTTTATGACAGGTCTTGGCAAAATAAAAGCGCTTTAATGCCAATTAAACATTAATTTTAAGATCTATGAAACATAAGAATAACACTGCCTCACTGTATTAGGTTCAACGTGAATCTTGTGAATCTCATCTTGAGGTCTATTTCATAAAGACAAATCCAGCCTCTTCCCGTCCTCATCACACGTACGGTAGACGTGGCACAGGCGTGGCACAGGCGTGGTCTAGGAAGACAGGGAGTTTAAGGGAAAAAAATTGGAGGGGGGGGGTAAGCGATAGGTATCTTGCATTTCACAACACTTACAGTGCTACATATGTATGCAGGTAAGGTGATAAAAGAGCACAGAAAACGCACAACGATAAAATCTCAATCATTTTATGATACAGTATGTCCTGAATTGCGAGAGAAAGATGAGAATTTATGACTACGTTGCGTTTTATGTCGATCATTTAGTTTATGATATTCCATAGCAAGAACTACTAAGATCACTTTCTATATAAAACCCACATTACTATCTGACCATTACTATCGTACCGTAGAAGCTTCAACTGTAATCTTGTTCTCAACCTGAACAAAATGCGCCGTGATCACATCTAACGCAATTCGCAATGACCTCCAGTAACTGCATGGAGAACGTGAAGATTCGCACACAAAGGGCATTAAATGCACTCATGAATGTCCCCTCCCCACCGATCTTTTACCCCTGAACCGCCCAGACACTCCAGGTCTAGCCCATTGATATAAAACGTATCCTTTCCTGTAGTTATCAGGGCTTAGATGTTGGAGTTGCTAAAACAAATACATGTATATTAACAACTGAAACTCAAATTTGCACGAGACCAAATCATTGTATTGAAAGCAATGTAATCCCCCCCCCCCCCAAAAAAAAAAAAAAAAAAAAAAAAGCCCTCTATAATTCCTCATAGTAAATGAATATGTAAAGAATTGCTAATTTCTATGCGTAACACCCTCAGGTTCACTCTTTAATGCGTCGTTTTTAGCTTTTTAAAATCACTAGTGACGTAATAATTTGTAAACATTTCCAATTTCTAATAGCATAATGCCGCATAATTTAAACATATTTATTACAATTTATAAATTCCAATACTTCAACATATTATTTAACACCTTGGAATTTACACTACCTATCTTTCTATTGACATGCTATTTCATCTTTCTATTGTCTTGCTATTTCATCTTTTTATTCATTCATTGCCATGTCAGTGCTTGCAAAGAAATTAAAATTTCAAATGCACGAGGGCATTTTTCGACCGGAGGTTGTTTTCATTATCCCGTGTGCAAAGCGATATTGTATTGTAGTTTTCCTGGAAGATGGGCCATGTATCTTCGACGAAAAGAACAATGCAACTAGCGACACCCCTACCTCGTCATATTGAGTGGCGTGTCAGTGCACTACGACTCACAAGAATAAAATGTCACCAAAATAGCTCACATGGTCAGTGCTAAAACTGTTTCATAATTTTACTTAACGATGCGTTTGAAGTCAATTTTTTCCCACAAAAGCCAACCAAATGCCATCATATTGTCTAAAGAAGCGTAAGTTAAAAAATACCAAAGGGAATCGCTTAATATTACCAGAAAAATGGTTTTTGAACGAATTTTTTGCTTGATCTTTGTGCTATATACAAACGGAACAGATAAACAGGTCAAATATACTATGTAAGCAGGTCAAATTTACAACCAAAAATCTGAAGAATGTGCAGTTTAAGGATCTTTTATGGCTGAGTGAGTGATTAATCGGTTTATTTCTTGGCTTTTCGACGTTTTGTGTAGCTTAAGAAACTTAAAGAAGTGGTTTTCTTGTTAATGCGTTTCTGGGAAACCCACGCTCCACCGACGCTCGGTTCAAATGTACCTTTAAAAATACTCTAAATGTTCTATTTTATGCAAGCTTGAGTTCTTCTCATCATTACAAACCATATTATTTTTAACACCGTTATTATCATACTATTATTATTATTATTATTTGCAAAGTGTATATGGTACAAATCACATGTAACAGTGCGCTTTTCAGAATGGATTGCACCCTTATAATATTAATGGCTGCACAATGATTAAAGTATACAATTGTTTCAACAGTATTTATAAAGAGAAAATAAAGTACACAAAACATACAAGAGATCATTCCTTTTAAAAATTCTCTTTCAGTTGTGGTCATACTGATTGAGAGCCTGGTAGTCACTATAAACTTCATTAAAAAGAATTTCAACGTGTCTGTCCAGGTACGTTGCTACTTCAATGAATTCATCACAGTAACGAAATATGATAGATCCGGGATCTGCGGAAATTTCCCAATTTTTCGGCATGATTATCTTGTGTTTGCATCTTGTTTCCTTATCGAGTGGGCGAGGCCTAGGTGCAGCCCTTTTGAATGCAGCAAAGCAGCGCTATAAAAGAGAGCGAGAGTCGCAGTTGACAGAACGAGCTGGCTGAAGGAGAAACCTGACAGTAGAGATATTCATGTACTCGAAGATGTATCTACTCGTAATAGTGGCTTTACTTTTCAGCTGTCTTGAAAATGGGGCCTCGCAGACCACAACCGTTGCATCTCGGCTGGCCAAAGACCCGAATAAAGATTTGGAAGATGTACTTGCAAGCAAGGTGCATCACCGAGTCGTCTCCCAGTACATCGCGAAGTTCACGCAGGCACTTGTGAAGTACTGCCCGGAAAGCGTCAACTACCACTGGTGGGACGTCATGGCAATGTGGCGGAGAATGTCCAAGCGAGATGCACCATCTAGCGACCAACTAATGCTGGAGTCGGGGGTCTCTGCTCTGAGAGAATTAGTTTCCATTTATGAAAATTGTACTGTTAAAGGTAAGTCGGTTCTGACGATATTAAATACAATTAACTAGTTTGAAAGGTCAGTTATAGCAGTTATAGAATCTATCAAATGCGGTGATTGAATTACAAAGAAATATCTTTTTGCAGGGTTTCGGAATATGACATTCACAAATCTCGGTGCGACGGGACGACTTGGGCCGACTTCAGTTGGTAAACATTACGACGGCCAGGACCATCAGGGCAAGGTGACCTTAGTGAACGGGACACAGCTCTTTACCATCCCTGTCTCCGGTCTCTACCGGATCCATGCCGCTGGTAAATTATGTATTTTGTTAGAACATTTTGTAAATTAAAGACGCTATCAATATACCTTTGCAGAATTTATTATACATATTCTTTTTATGCTTAAATTCATTTTTTACCATTCTTTGTTAGATTTTTAGAAAATAATGACTTGTACTCTTTTAACGTTTCTTGATGTTCTTCAACTTTGCTTCCCTTCTCTCTCTCTCTACACTTTTTCAATTGTGGTATATCCATCATCTGTTCACCAGGCGCTGCAGGGGGATGTGACAATGGTAGATGTCATGACCGCAGTCACGGCGCTGTTGTAGCTGGGACGTTCAATTTAAAATCAGGTAAAAACCTCCTTTGAAAACTTGTTAAAACAGATTAAACATTGGCAAACAAGATACAGGACATTTTTAAGCGAAACTTAAAGGTACTCTGTGCAGGAGTTACTCAGCAAAATCTATTTTCCTCGGAAAAGAAGGGAAACTTTTCATAATTATTGCTATTCTTCTTCCTTCACTTGATCCAATATTTTATTCAATGTTCAATTAAATGATTTAGTTCTTAATGCCTGGGCAGCCCCTTAGAACATCATTTCTCCATATCAATTGAAGAAGGAACTACCAAAGTTTATTATCACTTGATTGGATTTATAGTTTTAAAGGTCTGAATTTGGGAAAGATAAGTTGCTTTGCGGGACATGTAGTTATAGTAAAAATGACCTAGGAGAACATGTACAGCAAATGTTAAAATTGAAAATGGATAAATTGATAACGTATATCTAACATTATGCATGTCATATAATGCCAAAATAATATTGCAAACGTTATTTTCCAGTACTTTAGCATGTGTGTGTGTGTGTGTGTGTGTGTGTGTGTGTGTGTGAGAGAGAGAGAGAGAGAGAGAGAGAGAGAGAGAGAAAGTTATCTTTTAGCAATAAAGTTTATCTGGTAGATGTTAAACATCTAAGAAAGAATATACCAATCGTAAACCTTTTTTTCAGGTCGTCAACTTAAAATCCTGGTTGGTCAGATGGGAGGACAGCACAGGTACCAATCAAGTGGCGGCGGCGGTGGGACGTTCGTCACATATGCTGATAATGATCCGTTGATCGTGGCTGGTGGCGGCGGCGGGATAGAAAAACTTAATCAAGGGCAGGCTGTGTGCAGCGGCACGGCGCGTAACGATGGCAACCGTGGATTTGGAGGGCAAGCTTGGCCGGGTGGTCGTAACGGACAGGGTGCTTCGACAGCTGACTCCGGCAATTCAGGTGGAGGAGGGGGCGGTCTTCTAACGGACGGGAGGAGCAGTGCCAAATACGGCGGGTCCGGGAATGGGGGCGAAGGCGGAAAGGCGTTTGTGAACGGCGGTGCAGGAGGAAGAACCAAATTCTGGCCGGATCCACAGTACAACACCGCGAACGGTGGGTTCGGGGGCGGGGGCGGGGCCTACGGAAATGGCGGAGGAGCGGGCGGAGGGGGAGGCTACTCTGGCGGGGCTAGTGGGGACAACGTCAGTAATTCCTGCGGAGGGGGAGGAGGCTCCTACAACGCTGGGACAGACCAGACGGGCAACGACGGGGAGAATGAGGGACACGGATACGTCGTGCTTACCAGACTGGAATGATTTGAGTGCAAGCAGCAGCCACTAGGACCTACATGTATCTACTGGTACACTGATCACGTTATTGATATGTTTATTATGACTGCCAGTACTGTTCAAAAGTAGTAGGACAATACAGACCAGAGGAAAGTATTCTAGCGCGCAGAGGTGTAACAATAAATTTGGGCGCCGGATTACGTAACTTTTCCACTTCCAAAATACCCTGTGATTGTTCTGCCTTAACGGTATGATAACTGCAATAGAAGATGTGTAGCTTTTTACAGAGACAAGTAGAAACCCCTAAAACGATACGATCCGAGCGCAGATAATGAATTTTGAGTGTTTACTTTAAAAATAAAATTGATATTTTACAGGTAAGTAGAGACTGCACAAAACAACTGTAAACATACCTCATAGATAAGCAAAGAAGACATAGAATGTAACAAGGGCATCGACAAAAAATAAAATGAAGAAATGAAGTCAATAAAAAGATGACATTAAAGATAACATGAAATCAAACTGTAATGGAAGACGATATGGGAAATGGAACTGGTGTACCGTAAATGTATCAATCTATCTATCTTTCTGTCTACCTGTACATCATATATATCTTATGTATTTAAAGCAACTCGTGTTGCAGCAAGGAGTAGGTCTAATCAACTCCTTCGCTGAAGTGAACATCATCATTATCTTGTAATGCTGACAACCGCCCATCATTAAATAAACAACACACTGATATACTAATAGCTCATTGTTTTATTCAATTACGGTTTCACACATACCCAGTACGTAGGAACTCAAACCAACAGGTCATGTACATGTATTTGTTTCCCAGTCATCCGCTCCTGTTATCATTATTGCCTTGAATGGAGGGCCAGACAAATATCTATGAAGACTACAGTGTGGGACCGGGGGGGTAATGGATAATTTCTATTTTTTCTTTGGTACCATAGGCGGTACAAATAATGTAGTTGCTAGTACAGTACTAGTATATCCAACGATCTTCAACCTCCCCGACCCAAGTGATTTTTTTTTATCCTAAGAGCCCCATTACAAATTTGCTAGTAAAAATGCCACTGTGCAAGCCATAGCCATACGACGTGACTTGGACTCTATTGGCCGAATTTGATTGTAAATGCGGCCTACAACTTAGATATAAGGTCAGAGAGATCAAGTTTTGCAGCAGCGTCCTTTCCTCTAAGCATTTGCTCTAGTGCTACCACACGCGCGTACACGTCCCTTTTCATGTCTTTCATAGCACCCCTGTCATAACCATTAGCTCCGATCACTAGCTCGGCTAACCCCGCTGATTTCTCTATTAGTTGATCAGGACCTGTTATTAGTGTGACTAGACCTGCGGTGAGAGCGTCGTCTGCTGCGAAGCGTTTGCCCATGACCAGCATGTCCGTCTCAACGATGGAGGACTTCACCTTTGACCTGGGAATGGAATAAATTAACACAACATACCTTTATAACAACAAACAGAACAAATAACACAGAAAAGAGCGTATTGTGGAGACGTGAGACACAATAGAGGGAAGGGGGGATACATGAGAGGTAACGTGAAGGAGGAGAGAAAAAAATAAGAGAAAATAAAAAAAGTAACATGCATATTTGATTTCTTACAAATAATAATAATAATAATAATAATAATAATAATAATAATAATAACAATTTCAACAACAAAAAGAAAAAGCAGAAGAACAACAACAACAGATGTAAGAAGCAAAATAAGACAAAATAACATTTCCAGCATATATGCACAGAATTGTCAACCATTAAAGTTCCTTACTGTATTAGGTTCAACATGAATCTTGTAAATCTCATCTTGAGGTCTATTTCATTAAGACAAATCCACCCTCTTCCCGTCCTCATCACACGGTAGTCGTGGCACAAGGCAAGCATGGCGCCCCCGGCAAAGGCGTGGCCTAGGAAGACAGGGAGGTTAGGGAAAAAACTGGGGGCGGGAGGGGGGGGGGGGGGTAAGCGATAGGTATCTTGCATTTCGTTACACTTACAGTGATATCAATGTATACCGGTTAGGTGATAAATAAGCACAGAAAAGCTACAGCCATACAATCTCAAGCATTTTATATACAATATGTCCCCTGTTGCGAGATAAAGATATGGATTTATGACTATGTCGCATTTTATGTCGATCATTTAGTTTATGATGTTCCATAGCAAGAACTACTAAGATCACTTTTCATATCAAGCCCACATTACAAACATTTCTATCTGACCATTACTATTGCAGTATCGTACCGGAGAAGCTTCAACTGTAATCTTGTTCTCAACTTGAACAAAATGCGCCGTGATCACATCTAACGCAATCCGCAAAGACCTCCAGTAACTCACCATTCAAAGCTGCTATAGTGGGCATGGGGAATGTGAGGATTCGCACACACAGGACATTAAATGCACTCATGAATGCCTCCCGATCTTTTGCCCCTGAACCGCCCAGCCACTCCAGGTCTAGCCCATTGCTATAAAACTTATCCTTTCCTGTAGTTATCAGCGCTTGGATGTTGGATTTGCTGAAAAAAAAGGCAAGTGAATAAACAATTGAAAGATATGAATTTACACGAGACCAAATTATCGTATTGAAAGCAGTGTGATTCCTCTGAGAAATATATAATTCTTCAAAGAAAATGAATATTTAAAGAAATGTTAATTTCTACACGTAACTCCACTCTATAGCTTCTTTATTGTGTCATTTTTAGCATAAATCCCTTATGACGTTATATTTTGAAAACATTTCTAATTTCTAAAAGCAAAATGCCATATTAAATTACAATTTATGAACTCCAGTATTTCAACATATTATTTCACGCCTTTGATTTCTTTTACACCATCTATCCTTCTATCTATCTTGAAACATGCTTATCTATCTGATTTTTTATTTATTGTCTTTTCAGTGCTCGCGAAGAACTTGAAATATCAGATGCACGAGGAATTTTTTGACGCGCGGTTGTTTATATTATCCCGCGAGCAAAGCGGGATTGCACTGCGGTTTTCCTAGTCGATCATGCGCTGTGTATCTTCGACGAAAAGAACAATGCAACTAGCGTGAACTCTACCTCGTGATGTTAAGTGGCGTGTTTGTGCACGACGACTCACAGGAATAAAATGTCATCAAAAAAGCACGTGTGGTTAGTGCTTCAACTGATTCAAAATTTCACTCAAAGATGTATTTGTAGTCATTTCTGCCACAAATGCAAAAAAAAAAAAAAAAAATCATATTACCAGAAGAATGATTGTTTTGAGGATTGTTCCTGTTCGATCTCTGTGCTGTATAAAAACGGGGCAGATAAATAAGTCAGATATATGTCAGAGGGTTAAATTAACAACCAAAAAATGAAGAATGTGATGTGCAGTTTAAGGTACTTTCATGGCTGATTAAGTGATTAATTCGGTTAAATCCTTGGTTTTTCGACTTTTTTTTATAAGAAACTTGCATAAACGGTTTCCTAGTTTTAACTTAAAATGCGTTTCTGGAAATTCACGCTCCCATTAAAATGCGTTACTGGAAATTCACGCTCCCATTAAAATGCGTTACTGGAAATTCACGCTCCCATTAAAAACCCTCCTTAAGGAGTGAACATGCCGCTTTAAGAACCAGGCAGTCTTTAAAACTCCATCATAAATAATTTCAACTGTCTATCCCGGTATGTTGCTACTGCAATGAAATCACCACAGTACCAAAAACTAAAAGATCCGGGATCTGCGGACATTTTCCCAATTTTTACCATGATTATCTCGTGTTTGCATCCTGCTTCCTTATCGAGTGCGCCAGGCCTAGGTGCAGCCCCTGCGTTGCAGCAAAGCAGCACTATAAAAGAGAGCAAGAGTCGTAGCTGAGCTTAAGGAGAAACCTGACAGTAGAGATATTCATGTACTCGAACATGTATCTGCTAGTAGTAGTGGCTTTACTTTTCAGCTGTCTTGAAAATGGGGAATCACAGACCACTCAGCTGGCCAAAGACCCGAATAAAAATTTGGAAGATGTACTTGCAAGCAAGGTGCATCACCGAGTCGTCTCTCAGTACATTGCAAAGTTCACGCGGGCACTTGTAAAGTACTGCCCGGAAAGCATCAACTACCACTGGTGGGACGTCATGGCAATGAGGAGCAGACTGTCTAAGCGAGAAGCGCCCACTTCCGACCAACTAATGCTGGAGGCAGGGGTCTCTGCTCTGAGAGAATTAGTTTCCAATTATGAAAATTGCACTGTTAAAGGTAAGTCGATTCTGACGATATTATATACAGTTAACTAGTTTGAAAGGTCAGTCATAGCGGAAAAGGACTTAAAAATCTGCCCAATGCGGTGATTTAATTACAAAGAAATATCTGTTTTCAGGGTTTCGGAATATGACATTCACAAATCTCGGTGCGACGGGACGACTAGGACCGACTTCAGTTGGTAAACATTACGACGGCCAGGACCATCAGGGCAAGGTGACCTTAGTGAACGGGACACAGCTCTTCACCATTCCTTTCTCAGGTCTCTACAGGATACGTGCCGCTGGTAAATTATATACTTCGTTAGCATTATTTTGTAAATTAAACAGGTTATTTACCGGTACATTGATGTCCCTTAGATAGAATTATCATAAAGTGTTTTTTTGTACTTAAAGATATATCTACATTAATAATAATAGTAAAAAAAAATCACAATAATTGGTCTGCCTATTCCTGTGCGTGTTCACTAGTAAGACCACCATCTTTCCACCCTTTAATCGCTACCCCCCCCCTCTCTTTCTCTCTCTCTCTCTCTGTTGGGGCATGTATTCTAATTTACTTTTTGTTCATCATATGTCCACCAGGCGCTGCAGGGGGCTGTGACGCAAGAGGATGTAACTACCGCAGCCGCGGTGCTGTTGTAGCCGGGACGTTCAATTTAGATGCAGGTAAATTAAACGTATCGCAAACACAGTATGGGACATTAGACATAGCATATACTAGGAGATAAAAGGACATAAAAATGTAGTTTTAATTTCTTATTTATAATATTAACATAACTCACGAAGGGGTATTTTGGTATTGTTATGTACGCACCGGTACACTGTATGTAAAACAAGTTGAAATATAGGTGCGACTACCACTCTTTTTTTAATGACAGAAATACTGAAATTAACTGCATTCACTATAATCACTTATATGTAATTGTTTGTGCCTGTGTGTGTGTCACTATGAGTGTCTGTGTGCATGTATGCATGCGTGCGTGCGTGTGTGAGCGCGTCTTTTTTGGAATTATATTTATCTGACAGATATTTTTTAAAAATGTAACAAAAATTACAAACATTTTTCCTGCATTTCAGGTCGTCAACTTAAAATCCTGGTCGGTCAGATGGGAGGACGTCACAGCAAATCTTCCACTGGTGGCGGCGGTGGGACGTTCGTCACATATGCTGACAACGACCCGCTAATCGTGGCTGGGGGCGGAGGCGGGGTGGAATCCCTCACGCGGAGACAGGCTGTGTGCAGCGGCACGCCGCGTAACGATGGCAACCGTGGGTTTGGAGGGCAAGCTTGGCCAGGTGGGCGTAACGGACAGGGTGCTTCGACAGCCGACTCCGGCAATTCAGGTGGAGGAGGGGGTGGTCTTCTAACCGACGGGAGGAGCAGTGCCAAGTACGGCGGGTCCGGGACAGGGGGCGAGGGCGGAAAGGCGTTTGTGAACGGCGGTGCAGGAGGAAGAACCAAATTCTGGCCGGATGCGCAGTACAACACAGCGAACGGTGGGTTCGGGGGCGGCGGCGGTGCCTACGGAAATGGCGGAGGAGCGGGTGGAGGGGGTGGCTACTCTGGCGGGGCAAGTGGGGACAATAACAGCAACTCTTGCGGCGGGGGAGGAGGGTCCTACAACGCTGGGACAGACCAGACGGGCATCGACGGGGAAAATGAGGGACACGGATACGTCGTGCTTACCAGACTAGAATGATTTGTGTGCTAGCAGCTGCCATCTAGGTCCTGCAAGTATTTACAGTACACTTACCACGCGATTGTTATACCTAATTATTTATTGTGGACGTGGACAAAATTACGAATTTGTTATTATGTCCAACTTGTGGACAATATGATTGCCGGCACTTAGGGCCTACCAAATATTTTACCAGTCATTGGGCTGTTTTAAATACAGATTACGCCTGTGCTTGATACAAACTTAAATGTATGATAAAAGCCCCATAGCATGCATATATAGGGTGACTATAAAGACATGAGAACATGTAAGAGACATTTTTATTTACCTAGATACCCTGTGGTTGGCCTATAATTTAGGCCTACTCATACGCATCCTTGGTTTAATCTAACAAAAAGTGAAGCAAATGCTTGACCTCGTGCCCGCGTAGAAGATTAATTCCATCTACAAAATTTAAAGTCTACATACTGTAGAGAATTATCCTAATATATTCACATGTAGGGCCCACGTAGGCCTACATGTAGGCCTATTGTTCACGCGGTTGGCTCAAGTTCGGGCTGAGTAGGCTTACCTGAGTAGGCCTACCACTGGCACAGATTATGTATATTCCTATTTTGCTTAATTTTGACTTTGGCTCTCGTGTTAGGCTATATAGGGTCATTGCGTGGAATGCTCAACCTTTGCATTCTTGTTAGATAATTTTTAAAAGTCAAATGTTGACGAATAGCTCTCTTTAGTCGTCAAAATATCTGCACTAGAATACATTTTAACTTGCACGAACCTTTCGATTGTATCCAGTGCCTGATTGAATGACTTAATAAAGTTTGCATTAATTCTGTTTTGTCCATTTTCTAGACGAATAACTGCGATGTTGTCGTTGATTATATCAAGTCGGACTCCCCTGTCCTCCATTTTGACTGTCATGTGACAATCATGTGACAGGTATTACGAAATGTGGGCGTGAAGGGGAGAATGGGTGGGGGGTGGGGGGGTCAACAGCTTTGAAATATACAACAATGGAAGCATATTGATTAATTAATTCACACACAGTAAGTGTTGGTTATTCTGAAGAACGCAGCCGTCACACCGATTTTAAAGCAAATAGATCATGTAGTGTTTTATTTAAGTTAAATACATTTAGATTTACCGGCCACTAATTGCTAATTGAAGGTGCGCGTGTTACCAGCACAACTTATGTGCCAAATGGTTAACGATCCATTTTTCAATATTTTGTTTTCTACTTAACAAAGAAAAACGCAGCGACAACTTTCCAAAAGAAGAGAAAAATATTTTATAATAAATATAAATTTACACCATGCTCGAAAATTAGGTAGGCCTAATCACAGATTGAGTACCCCTGCAATACAGACTAAAAACAATTGAAAAAAGTTCAAAAAGAAATTGTGAAATATGACGTTATTTTGAGTATTATACAATACAACCGCGAGACAGTAACCACAGCTGATTTCAACATGTTATTGATCTAACCATAACAATCTAAGGGGTTTATTGACCGTGTCATCTATTCTGACCTCAATCTATTGACAAACCCTAGCAACGTCTTGGCAACGTGTCAACATGCACCTTGTAAACCGATTCAACATGGAGGACGCAGGAGCCCAGTGAAGTAATTGAGTTGGAAACTTTTGGGAATAACGTAGGAATTAGTGGACCGATTTGGACGCACCTGCAGGATAACATTTAGATTTTAGTACCGAGTCAGCTGCGAAGATGGCAGAGGAGAGTGTCAAGGTGGCGGTACGCTTGCGACCATTTATATCCTTGTTATCACACGATCTTTAATGTACAGTATGTGCACATGCACCAATAGCCCTGCTAGTGAAGATTTTTTAAACTCGCAGTTAATTACACACTTTGTATGGTGTTGCTAAATGATACCTGTAGTAATCCATAGTTCCTGTAGAGTGTAGTTTGAATCTGTTCAGTAGAAATCCCTTACGTACATAATGGGTCTCTACCCGAGTAGTGCTTTCCACTGCATGAACCTGCTGCAGTTTAGGGGCCTATAATACTGGTAGAACTCAGTTTATTGGGAGGATGTAATACCTTTTTTTATGTGACAAATGTAGTAAGCACACGGTTATACACGTATACAACGATGCGACAGATCAAGATTAAATCTATATATACTGGACACAATTTAATCCAAAGTAAAAGATAGGCACTTCTGCATCCTCCAGTGTGGCGGATGGTGTTTGTGTTTGTGGCTAAATATTTTCTTGGGGTGTGCTTATTAATCATAAGCTCTATTCCCATAGATTTTAGATCGATCTATCCCCGCGGGGAGTCTCACTAGATTACTTTCAGATAATCCGACTTAAATGTCCGTCCCGCCTACTACAAGCTGGAAGGGGGTAATTAACTTTCGTGTCCGCCCGGCTGACAGCTATTTAGCGTGAATCCCCAGGGAGTTAGGTCGATCTTAAGTAGGTCGATCTAATCTATGGAAATGGGGTGATAGGCAGAGACCTCTAGACTGTGCTGGTAAATGTTGACATATAGTGTAAAGGTGTTAACTGCTTGGCTTGCGATGGTTTACTGATACATGGCAGGTTAATTATAGGGCTTACGCGTCATCACTGCATCTGTGACAGTTGCTGATTATAATTACGCGGGTATGGATTCCTTTCAATTCTGCACGCATTTCGCCATGCTTGCGTCTTGCACACACTCCTAGAAGGCCTAATTTCTCTCTCTCTCTCTCTCTCTCTCGCTCTCACACACACACACACACACACACACACACACACCTTTTCGGCCCGCTATCTTAATTTTACTGTCATTTACTTTCTATACATATATTTTAAATTTTTTTCGCACATACACATTTTTATCAACATTTTCACAAGTTTACAAAGAGTTAACTTTCCCCAGTCCTATCAATTCAAATATACATGTACAAGGTGAGCACAAGGAGTACAATTATATTTTTTACAAGATGAAAGGCTATAAAGGATGACCATTGACATCAACTTGGGTCACCAATGTTAATTATCATGTTTCATAAGCTTACAGAGGACAATCCCCCCTCCCAGCGTATGGTTTGTAGACTTGTGAAAATGATAAAATGTTCGGCCCCTAAGTAATACGGTATTGAAAAACACCTACACATACAGGATACATTCAATGACAGCACAAGTAACTATAACAGAGCACAAATTAATAGATACATTTATAAATGATCATAACAGTTATATAGACGGCTATACTAATGGATATGCGCGCAGATCATTTACCAAGCTTGATCTATACACCCAGTTTATGGCGCATAATATATCAGTCTAGCATATATGGGCAAGGCTATCTCTAAAACATCCAGTCACATACCCTGTGCTAGTTACTGACTCCTTAACCAGTCTCACAACAGTCGTGAGAAGGCCCGCAACGCCACGCTAATTATCGACATGAAGGGACCGACGACGTACATCAAGGACCCCTCGGCACCTAGCGAGGAGGCCAAGTCGTTCACCTTCGACTACAGTTACTGGTCCCACGACGGCTCTAAGCTGGAGGGCGACGGCTACATCGCACCTGATCCCGGTCACCCCAATGGGAAAAAATTCGCTGACCAGGTTAGGTTTGATTTTTTTAAAGTCATTTTGATATTCAATATTTTTTTTATTTGAATTTTAATTAAAATGGATCCTAATTTTTGAATTTGAATATATTTAAATTGTATAGAAAGACATGTGATAAAAATTAAGTATTGCAAGAATATGATTATCCTTACGCCTTGTGTTTTTGTTTTAAATGCGTGAAGTATAGAGATGCTGAGGATAAAGATTTTTAAATGCATAATTTCAAACATATTGATGAGATCACAACCTTTAATGGCCGTCTCCATTTCTCTTCCAGAAAACCGTGTTTCAGGACCTTGGTATGGGAGTACTGACCAACGCCTGGGACGGCTTTAACTCCACCCTCTTCGCATATGGACAGACAGGGTCCGGCAAGAGCTGGTCAGTGGTGGGATACGGGGTCAACAGAGGTGAGTGACCGCGCGCTAGGGGATTTTAAACCACTCTTTCATTACCCAGTTATATTGGATGTGTGTGTGTATGTGTGTGTTTGTGGGAAGGGGGTCCATTTTACTCATTCCCAATGAACCTATCGCTATTTTATGTGTACATGTATAGCATTTTCTTTAGATTTTTCAGATAAAAATACTTATCGTTTATGATCCCTAGAAAACGTTGTCGATTTAATTCATTTTCACTCCAAAATCTTGCACACTGAATTTTCATGTAATCACGATTACATACAGGGAACTGAATGCTATTTTCTCCATTACCAATAACATAAAATGCGTCACATATGATGGTTTTCTTACCCCCTCCAGGTATTGTGCCCCAGTTTTGTGAGGAAGTCTTCAACAGAGTAGACGCGGAGAAGAATAACGGATCTTCCACACAGTTTGAGGTAGGCTAAGAATAATTTGAAAAAGATAATCGATGGTTAAATCGCACCATATTTTCACTATTAAATTATCATATTGTTCTTTAATTGTGCAAATATATAAATTTGGACAACGATAACATTGTAAAAAGAGTCGGCAGATTCCGAAAAAAAAAAAAAAAAAAAAACATATCGCCAATGTCGAGGGAACATTTGTGTTGAGTATACACATGTACATGATGATATACGTATTCTCTCTGATTACCCAATTTACTTTTAGAATAAGTACCGAAACAATTTGTCAAATTTTGACACCTGGTTTTAAATCCGAAAGTCAACATACTCAACAACAACCCAAGTATACTTCATATCTATAGCCCTGGTTACAGAGTTGTTGATCAATAAGGGTGCTTTCCCAGAGATTTAGATCGATCTAAGGATTAAGTTTTAGATCAACCTAACTCCCTGGGGGTTCACGCTAAATTGCAGTCAGCCGAGCGGGCACCATAGTTAATTACCCCCTTACAGCTTTTAGTAGGCGGGACAGACGCTTAAGCCGGCCAAGCTGACAGTAGTCTAGTGAGACTCCCCACAGGGATAGATCGATTTAAGAATCTATGGAAATGGGGTGTAAGAAACCGATATTCTCTGGTCTTAAGTTAAAATCTGTGTGTTTATTTCCAGGTGAACTTCAGTATGTTGGAGATATACAATGAAATTGTTAGAGACCTGCTGAACCCAGGGTCTGGCGGTAAAGGCGGCCTGAAGGTCAGGCAGCACCCTAAGAAAGGATTTTATGGTAGGTCATTTAAAATGTTGGGGTTACAGTTAGAATAAAATCTTAAATATTTTGCTTCTGTTATGCAGTGTTTGGAGAAAATGTTTTCCGCTGGTTAGAAATACTTTAACAGGTTGCATCATCGTAAGAGGTTTTATGCATAATAATAATAATAATAATAATAATAATAATAATAATAATAATAATAATTATTATTATTATTATTATTATTATTTTATTTATTATTTTTTGCGGTGTGTAAGGCTTGACTTGCCGCAAATATCAACTCTAAGTACTTGGTTCGGGCATTGTTGCCAGACACTCCACTAATCAAGGAATTATCTGTTTGCTTCTAGCTCAAGGCCTTACGAGCGCCTTGGTGAGTAGTTATAATGACATTGAGAAGAAAATGGAGGAAGGCACGACTAACAGAACTGTGGCCGCCACCAATATGAATGCTACTAGCAGGTAAAAAAAAAAAATAATAAAAATAAAAATAAATAATTAAATAAATAAATATTATGAGAAGTTACTCCTGGTGCTTTGTCTAGCTTATTTTAAAGGGTTAGATGAATATTTGTTTTGAATAAAGAGAAGTTTTGAATTAAATAGAGAATAATCAAGCAAAATACAATGGATTATATAAAACAATTTTAGCCGTGCTGATGTAATCTTTTGAGTGCATGGTAAATGGTGAAGTGGTAAAATTCTGCTTGATGGATAATAACAACGAAAAAGAAGAATTTATGTTAGGATAGGACATCTCTCAATCTATGCATATATAATTTCAGTCGTGCTCACACCATCGTTGGAATCACACTGATACAGAAATTCAAGAATGCTGCTGGAGAAGAGACGGCTAAGACTGGGATTGTCAACCTGGTAGATCTGGCTGGAAGGTAGGTCACGACGATCCCACTGAGTGTATAAATATCTTTTATATTAGTTATTTTCCCTTTATTGATTGAGTGTGTTCATGTGCATGCATACTTGCTTCATTGAGGTATTTCTTGTCACTTTCTCAACTCTGATGCTCACCTTCGTCAGAACACAAAGTGTAGAATATTTAGAATTTTAATGATATTTAAACTGCTACAGTAGGTACGAAAAAAAAAAAAAAAAAAAAGAGAGAGAGACAAAAAAAAATACATACTGGAAGTAATTACCTAAGTTAGTTACTTTTCTACAGGTGTGTTTATTAATTTTCATCACTTTTCATACATTCATGTTAAAACAGTTTTTATGATGATTTTTTCAAAGTATTTTCAATTTACTTAAAAATTTCTATAACAATCTATAGGTGTCTAAATGGACAACTGTTGGGGGTATTAATTCCGATTTCACCCCAAGCATTTCAATACAATGTTGAAAATCCTCCCAGTACTTTGCTTCAATAGATGATAATGGTTTTTATTGCAATTCAGTGAGCGTGCTGACAGCACAGGTGCCACAGGCGACAGACTGAAAGAGGGCGCTGCTATCAACCAGTCGTTGTCTTCTCTTGGTAACGTCATCTCTGCACTGGCTGAGAAATCATCAGGGAAAAATACCAGAGGTAAATATGATCACTTGTTCAATTAACAAGTAAGTTTTTTTTTTTAGATTTAATTAATCACCATATTTCTTGTAACATTGTACAATATTTCTTAAAATAACCCTAACCCTAATCCTTAAAATAATGTATCTTTTCTTTACATGTTGTGCAAGAATTCACAAATGATTTTAGTAATCTTTAGATACCGGTGATATCTTTATGATAAGACATACACATGTTTACTGGCACATCCCAGTTTATGGTGAAAAGTAAGTGGGAAGAAGTTTTTTGCAAGATTAATTTTAACCATTCTGTTTCGAACTATGGTATTTTCTCATGCAAAACATATTTGAAGTAATTCTGAGGGTTGTTCTGCTTTGCAGTTGCTAAGCTTATCATGAGACTAAAATATTTATTCTTTTTTTTTTTTTCATTTTTAGTACCATACCGTAACTCAGTGTTAACTATGCTGCTGAAGAATGCCTTGGGTGGAAACAGCAAGACAATTATGGTGGGTTTTTACATCAACTCTATAGTGATCACAACCAACATGCTGCCAAATACTAGCTGTCTAAGTGATATACATACAGTCACAGTTTAGTTGATAGTAATTTGGAACATTGAGGGAATTTTGCTGGTTTATATACATGTATATAAAAACAAACCAGTATTTTCACATTTTTTGCATATCTTTAAAAGATGATCCATCGTATTTTTGCAGATAGCTGCTCTGAGTCCAGCTGACATCAACTATGATGAAACCCTGAGCACACTGAGATATGGTGAGTCAGCTAGGTGTTGGTATATATAATAATAATAATAATAATAATAATAATAATAATAATAATAATAATAAACATTCTCTACCACTATCAATATGCTTACCCGTTAAGCATATATTGTGCTGTGATTTGCTTGAGCTGGTCTAAAGCCAAAATGAAGGTCATGCAAAATTTTGCATTCTGTTAGATTAAATGTGTTAAATGTGACTCAGATCCATTGTGCTAGATGCAACCTAATTCATTGTGTTAGATGTGACAGAGTGTGCATTCTTCTCCAGCTGACAGAGCCAAGCAGATCAAGACCAAGGCCACAGTGAATGAGGACCCCACAGAGAAACTGATCCGAGAGCTTCAGGAGGAGAATGAGAGGTTGAAGAAGATGATGGAGGGAGGAAATATTCAGGTGCCTCGGGGCGATGGCGATGATGAGATTCAGGCTTCAGAGGGAATGTCAGAGGAGGGTGAGGATCAATTTACATCTAAAAGCGCAACCCTCTCGGAGGAAATAATTCTCATGTTATACCATAAGATGTGACACATATCAAGCTATTGTCAGTCATTCAGTCAAAAGATTTAAAAAGTTCTTAATCCAATTATAATTTTTTCTACTTGCCTATAACAAAATAATAAACCTTAGTTTAAGGGGCAAAGGTACTTTTTGGTTTGTAAATTTACATGTACATTTTACAGCATACTTAATGTCAGCTTTTCACTGTTAGTTATTGTAACTGATTCTTCTTTTTACTTTTTTTTCAGAAATTGCTGCCCTGAAGAAGCAGCTAGAGGAGGAGTACAAGGCAGAGTTAGAGGAAAATGCCAAACAGATGGAAGAGATGAAGAAGGCCTATGAAGACAAACTGAGAGAATCTCAGGAGGATAGCAAGGTCAGTGTTTGTTAACTTAATGTGTGCATATGAATATAGTTAAATTGTTTGTTGATTTATTTTTGAGTGTCTCTACTAGTATTTAAATTTGGAAGTGAGTTTTTTTTTGGGTATTTATATAGAAATGAATGATTGTTTAAGATATGTAGTGAATTGCAAATGCAATCTACATAACTGCATTGTAATGTCATATTGTGCATATGAATACAATTCAAACTTTTTAAAATCTTAGGCATCATCACTGTCAGACACCCAAGCCAAGAAACAGACTGTGCCACATCTCTCCAACTTAAACTTTGACCCCCAGCTGACAGGGAAAATTGTCTACTTTATTGACGGGGACACCAAGACTGTCGGCAACAAGAAAGGAGAACAGTCTGACATTGTGCTGGCTGGTCCAAGGTTGGTGGCCATGTTGATAGTTGAAAATATCCACCCTTTTTTTCTTTTTGTTTTTTTCCTTTAAGAAAAATTGTAGCACTGATAGCACTTAACTATGTATACTTGTTGAAATTGTCTCACATTTTTTACTTGTGAAATATATACTACTGAAGTAGGTTATTAGAAAACATTTTGGTCCATTTCTGGATGAGGGAAAACGGACTGTTGCAATTATTGAGTACTTGGTACAATAATTAAGGCCAAAAATGGTGATTGATTTATTAAATACAAAAATTATACACATACCAGTAATTGAGTTTGTACTGGTGCCTGCATGTTGCTACTTCAAAATATCTTTAGGTAAAAAAAATAAATATACACTGTATATTATTTATTAAGAAAATGCTGTATTTTTCCTCAGCATAATGGCACAGCATGCAGTGTTCACTGTAGAAGGAGGCAAGATCTTCTTGGAAAAGATGGCTGCAAATGCACGCCTGCTGATGAATGGCGACCCAGTGAACCAGAAGACGGAGGTGAAACATAATGCAAGGTACTGTAAGAAAAAGAAACATCCAATGAGACTAATTGCTAGTAGGATTGAGTATTGGATTGGAAGGGGGGCACAGAGGGGGGGGGGGGGGGCTTGGACACGCATACAGCCCCCCCCCCCCCCCCCCCCCCCCCAAAAAAAAAAAAAAAAAAAAAAA